GTGTGTGTGTGTGTGTGTGTGTGTGTGTGTGTGTGTGTGTGTGTGTGTTTCCGAAGAACTGCGGATTGACAAACTGGTGTTGCAACTTTCCTGCATAAATTGCCGGGCCCAGACCATGTCGCTGACCAACACAAAGACGGGTTTTTCTGTCAAGGATATCTTAGACCTGCCTGACACCAACGATGAGGACGGATCGGTGGCGGAGGGGGCAGAGGAAGAGAGCGAGGGGTCGGAGCCTACCAAGAGAACCGGGGTGCTGGGATCGAGCGCCCTGGAAGCAGTACAGACCTTGCCCCTGAAAAATCCTTTCTACGACAACAGCGACAACCCCTATACCCGATGGCTAGCCAGTACCGAGAGCATCCAGTATTCCTGTGAGTAAAGAAACTTCACCCTAACAATCCTCCACCTCCCTCCCCCTTCTTTTTCCCTTAGACCAAATGTGGTTGGACAGTGGAAGGAGAAGCTATTTAACCCAGCCACCTCAACTCCAACCTAGGCCAGGCCCTAAAATATTGATTTGGTGGGGAATATCTATTAACTTTCACCCTTGTTTTAAAACTCTCCACGTCTCAGGAAAGGGGACTGGGAGCGCTGGGGACTTGTGCCTCGATTTTTTTTCTTATTCTGTTGAACTGGAAGGGAAAGGAGGAAAAGAAGGTGAAATGCCCTTCCAAGGGGTGGTATTTGTTACAATTCGGGTTTGTAAATTGTAAATACCATGTCATTACTGAGGCGAAAGATCACTAGGCGTGTTTACACGCCTGTGTTCGAGCCTGTGTGTGTAATATTGATCTCTGAAGGAGCCTAAGATGCAGATGGACGTTCTGGGGGTGCTATAAATAGCCCTCCCGTTGTTCAGACACAGAGGCCGCTTTGTGCCGAGCGGGTATCGGTTGGTTTAGAGACAGTCCAGAAAAACAAAAACAAAACACACACAAAATGTCTTAAATGACAGAGCTGATCAATGACTGGATTGTGAACTTCTTTTAAAAATCAGCCCACGTCCTTTCAGAGAGGAAATCACTTAAGGGTGTCCGAGATTTCCGTCCTTTTTGGCCCCTTTTCCTTCTCTTCGCACCCCCTTCCCGAGCAGAAAACATCCTCATGGTCATTTTCATAACCACTGCGAAAATGAGGCGCCCTCTTTATCCCTACCACTTCCCCAGGCCTCCCTCCCCACCTGGAGAAGGTGGGAGTGCACCCGACGGCTCTGGCAACCTCTTGGGCAGAGCTGGAGTTCACCAGGAGGGCAAGGAGGTTCTTTCCCAAATGCCCCCAACTACAGAGATCAGTTTCTTTGACAGGTTCCAACTAGTACGGTGGTTAGAAAAAGGGAGTCAGAGTAGGCAGAAGATCGCTATGGGCCTAAATCCTTCCCCTCGACGCCGAAAGGGATGAGATTGGGGCATAGGGGGCGGGTTTGAGGATAAGCAATCGTCTGCTGCCCGGGAGGGCAGAGGGCCCAGGCCGGCCTCTCACTCTCTCTCTCTCTCACAAGCTTTTCTCTTTCCCTGCCGTCCTTGCCCATACCACCCTCACCCACCCTCAACCTTTCCTTACATCCCACTTTCCCTACTTCCCTCCTCCCATACCCTCCCTCTGCAGTGCATGGGCTGGCTGCTGGGGCGCCCCCGCAGGACTCCAGCGCTAAATCCCCGGAGCCCTCGGCCGACGAGTCTCCGGACAACGACAAGGAGACCCCGGGCGGCGGGGGGGAAGCGGGCAAAAAGCGGAAGAGGAGGGTGCTCTTCTCCAAGGCACAGACCTACGAGCTTGAGCGGCGCTTTCGGCAGCAGCGCTACCTGTCGGCTCCTGAGCGCGAACACCTGGCCAGCCTCATCCGCCTGACTCCCACTCAGGTGAAAATTTGGTTCCAGAACCATCGCTACAAGATGAAACGGGCTCGGGCCGAGAAAGGTATGGAGGTGACCCCCCTGCCCTCCCCACGCCGGGTGGCCGTGCCCGTCTTAGTCAGGGACGGCAAACCCTGCCACACGCTCAAAGCTCAGGACTTGGCCGCAGCCACCTTCCAGGCCGGCATCCCCTTCTCCGCCTACAGCGCCCAGTCACTACAGCATATGCAATATAACGCCCAGTACAGCTCTGCCAGCACCCCCCAGTACCCGACAGCGCACCATTTGGTGCAAGCTCAGCAGTGGACTTGGTGAGACAGACGCCCTAGCCCTAGAAAGAGAGAGAGAGAGACTCAAGGCTCCAAAACAAATCCCACTCCACTGGAGGACGCTATTATTATTATTCTAATTATTATTATGGAGTTTGCTCTTGGCTTTTTTTTTTTTAAGGGAGGGAAATGTTTTGAGCTCCTTGGGGTGGGGAAATCCAAGGACTGTGTTCCCTCTCTTTTTTATTTTGGAGAGAGGGGTTTTGGAGATCTGGGCGCCGTGTTTACAAAAATTTTGCGCAGTCCTGCTTACTTGCCACTCCCCTGGGGAGAGGGGGGAGAGAAACCGTCGTCGTCGTCGTCCTCGTCTGAAAAAAACAAACTTAGATAAATCTCCCTCCACACAAAATAAAACCCCTCTGCTCTCGTGTTTTTTTGTAAAGTATGTTTGTGTGCCGTAGACATGTTGTCAGTCGTCTTCTTCTAAAGCAAGTGGAGAACACTTAAAATTTTAGAGAATTTTATTTCTCCTTTTTATAAGAAAACTTTAAATATTTATGACCACGTACACATTCTGACAACTGGTAGCAGGTTCTTCCTTTCCTTTCCTTCCCTTCCTTCCCAGTTTTCTATTTGGTCGTTTGCTTTTTGCTTGGGTTTGGGTTTTTGTAAATATCGGTGGTGAATGTTGTCAAAAGTAACCTTCAGGGCGATCTTTCTCTTTTCCTTCCTTTCCCCATCCATACCTTGTTTTGTTTAACTTTTTTTTTTCTTTTTGCCTGGATGCAAATATGCCCCAAATATGAAAAAAAGAAAAAGAAAAAATGTGGAAGACATACCGCCCAACCCCTCCTCATAATTCTCGTGGCCCTGTTCACGGGAATATCCAGTTCAGTGGTTGTGTACGACTCCAAAAGGAGCGCTGGGAGATTTTCAATTTTTTATAAGAATTTTAATAAAAATGCTGTGTTTAAAAAAAAAAAAAAGAAAGAAAGAAAGAAATCGACCCGGTTTGTCTGACTTTGTCTCCAAAGAGCAGCGCCTTTCAGCGGGAGGGAACCGAGACACAGGCCGCAATCCCACCCGGAGTCGCTCTGTTTGTTGTTATTGTTGTAGTTGCTGAGGGGGAGGGTGGGAAGGTGAGATAAGTAATGAAGGATTGTAGAAAGTAGGATATTGGAAACACCTTTGGGATCCGGTCTACGAGACTGTAAACCTGGCCTCCAGCGGTTTCGGGTGTGAATTTTTTCCCCTCTAGCTAAGGGGTTGCCTTTCTATTCCCCCTCTTTCCTACACACTGTCCCAGATGAAAATAAATATTTCTCTATGTACTTGATCTGGGTTCTTCACCTCAGAGGGGCTTCCCCTTAGTGTGTGAGCTAAGGGGATGGGTGATTTGTGAAACCCGCAGAAGTGAGGGGGAAAGTCCCTCACTCACCGAAATCTACGAGTGGCTCCTTCAGACTGAGAAGCTTTTGACGCCACTACACTCAATGACTTTCACTTTGTTGGGATTGACTTACCTCGTACTAAAGGGGGGAGGGGAGAGAGAGAGAGAGAGAGAGAGAGAGAGAGAGAGAGAGAGAGAGAGTTACTTTTTGGGTTTCTCTCTATTCCCCATTCCACCCCTTCTTTTTGTGATTGAGCTGTAGAGAGGCACAGCAGATGAGGAGGACTGAGGCTTGGGGTAGAGTTCGGTGTCCTCTTGGAAAAGGCTTAGGACCCATGACTGGTAAAGAGCAGGGGAATTGGTGGGATTAGATTGGAATTGAGTATTTTTTAGTGGCGAAGGGTGAGGTGGGGAGGGCTTGCCCCTTTCCTGAATTTCCATAGTCCTTTCACCCAGATTCATTCGTCTTCCTTGCCCTCTCTCCCTAATCGGAGACCTATATCTTTCTTCTATGTATTGTGTAAGAGGTGTGGATAGGATGGGTGGGTTACCAAAAAAAAAAAAAAAATCAGAGTTTAAGTATGTGTATGTATGTGTGTTGTGGTAGCAGTGGAGAGTGGAGAAGGAATAGTGATGTTGATCCCCTATTTCAGATCTGGCGCCTTTGCAGGCGGGGATGACTGTGGAGAGAATAGGCTGGGAGAAAATAACGGACATTTATGGTCTCTATGAAGGAGGGGGCTTCCTTTTTTGTATTACTTTATTTCATTTTTCAATCTGTAAGCTCAGAGAAGATCCCCTTTCCAGATGCTCCCGCACATTTTGCTATGTAGGAGGGGAATGAGTAGGGGCAGTCGGATCTCGAAGTTCTCCTTTCTTCTTTAATGCCCTGATTTTAGAAAATAACCTGGACTTCTTAAGGCTTAGTGGAGAGCCGGGAGCTTTTACTATTTCTGATTGGAAGCCGGCACAGATTCTGAAATTGTATCTTTCTCCCTGGGAGTTTCACAAACAACCCGGGACTGGGGAGAGGAGAGGGGATGGCTGTGAACGCCAAAGCAAATGGAGCAGTCCCAGATGACTTCCTCCCGTCCTGGCTCTTGTTGATGATCAGATTTAATTCAATATCTAAGGCAAACACGATTATCTGTAACCAAATCTGCAGGCGTTCAATAGCTCCTGCGAAAGGAAGGTTATTGCATGTTTTTCTTGCTCTATACACAGCCCTCTGGATAATTGAGGGCTCAGAAGTCATTCTAATATTCCATCAGCTCAACCTCTCCCCCAAAATGTATTTCTTAATCTGGGGGTGGGTTGGTTACCCAAACGCTGAAGTTATCTCTTTGTTCTTTTGACTGACTTGAAAACCTAAAAGATTCTCTTTCTTTTATAAAGAACAGAGGGAAAAGTCGTTGCTGAGCTTTAAAAAACGGTGACATTTGTCCCAAGGAGAAAAGTTACAAAATCACCTCGTACTTTGACCGTTTTCACAGTCCTAGGGTTCTATTTGATCAGAGTGAACCAAAAAGCATCATCCCTTCCTCACCCCTCAAAAATGGAAGGGGGTGTAATTCCAAATAAGTTCACTGAAAATTAACCAGGCCATTATCTTGGTTCGGGAGAAAAAATATTGATCAACTTGTGCTACTTCTATAAAAATGAGAGTTATCTAGAGGGAATCTTACTGTAAACTTCCAAACTCAAATCTGATCTAATTTCCTTAATATATTCCCCGTCCAAGATCAACAAAGAGGTGCTCCATTAAATAGTAGATATCTATGTATATAATTTGGCAACCAAGTTGAGCAGAGGGGTGTGTGTGTGTGTGTGTGTGTGTGTGTGTGTGTGTGTGTGTGTGTG